TCTACACAAAATGTGTACTTATGCTATAATATGTTATACTTTTACTTGTTATGTTATTTTTAGAGCATGATATTTAAATTTAAAAATATGCATATTAATTGAAAAAATATAATTGACTAACATAACAATATAATATACCAAGAACTCGCCATTTTTGTACTTGGAAGATAATTTGCTTCATAAACATTATTAAGTTGTTATATTATCTAACTAGACAGTCGTACTTTCTACAAAAAAAATAGTATTTATTTTAAAATCTAATATTTATATTATTTTTAAAATATGATATTTGAGTGAAGAAATATAAAAATTCGACTCCACTCGAATAAAATGGTTTTGGACTATGAGGACTGGCATGTAAATTAGGAACAATAAAGGGACAAGAACGTAATTATAAAATATGATGACGTGGCGCTATGGGGTTGCAGCCGTTGGCCCACAAATTCTATTCACAAACACTTCCCTATAAAAAATATCATATAAAATAATAAAATAGAAATTTGCTAAAAGAAAAAATAAAAAAATAAAAACAGGAAGAAAAGTAAAGAAAAAAAAAAATCCACCCGACGGCTACGCTACGGCGGCGCGGCCACACAACCACCAGTCTATCATCTCACTGCTCCGGCTCTCGATGTTCAATTACCGAGAGTACCCCTGAATTCGACCTAGTTTTCAGTCCACGGGCCTCGATTTTGATGCCTCTCTCTAGCTGGAGGTGCTATTGACAGTTCAGGCGAAGCAGATGCCGGAATCTTACTGCACGCCGCCGGCGGACGACGCCGCTAAGTCGGTTTCGGATAAGGCGCCGGAATATTCCTCCGGGAAGTCGCTGCTGGAAAAGCCGCTTCACCACCTTACTGAAGATGACGTTGCGCAGCTCACCCGAGAAGACTGCCGCCGCTATCTCAAGGAGAAAGGTTAGGCGAAGAACAAAGGAAGTTCAAACTGAGAAAAAAAAATACAAAAAGTGAATAGGTTAAGCGCAAGTCTCGATTTTTCGTCGTTTTTAATTTGTGGGTTTGGGCGTAGGGATGAGGAGACCTTCGTGGAACAAATCACAAGCAATTCAGCAAGTGATAATGCTGAAGAAGCTTCTAGAAGTTGATTCTGAAACTGGTTCGGTAAAGCGCCCCAATTACATCGTCCATGGCAGCTATAATGCTGCTAAGGAGAGTGTGCGTAGTTTTGTTTGTTTGTCTCTCTATTACTCGATTCTTGTTCTGTCCCTTGAGCTTTAGTGATGATGTTTGAAGTTGTTTTGTTACTAATTAAGCTTGATTAAGCAGTTTTGGTAATATAGTTTGTATAAGTGCAGGTTCCTAAAGGTAAAAGCAGAGATGCAGAAATTTCTTTATCGACAAAGGAGATGATGCTTAACCATATAGGTGATCTGAACAATCCCGATTCATCTTTTTCAGGCAGTTTTGCAGCCGCAAAAGATGAGTCTTTCCGGCCAAGGTTGTTTACTAATGTGCTTATTAACCAAGTCTTGCATATAGCTTTTGATGCATATACAGCTTTGCATGAAATTTGTTCATTGGATGAAAGGTTTTTCGTTCTTTCTTCCAGAACAATAGGTCCAACAGATATTGCAGCTGGGCAAATGACGATATTTTATGGCGGAAAAGTGAATGTTTATGATGATATGCCTGCAGATAAGGTATTGAACCTATCCACGGTCATTTTGCTTATGAACCGTGTAATTATTTTCAAATCTCATTGCTTCTTGCTAGCTTTTCTTAGTGAAATTAAGTCGTCATGTTTATTAGGCTCGGGCGATAATGCACATTGCAGCCAGTCCACTAGAGTTCTCAGAGGAGCAGCTGAATGATGCTAGAATACTGCAACCTTCACTTGGACTCCCAAAAGCTCTCACCCTGAAAATGCACCAGAATTCTGTAGATGGTACCTTGCCACGTCTCCATATAGGTGAGGCTAACTTTAAATTCCACATTATGACTTAGGCTGTGCTTGTTTATAAAAAAGCTAGAAAATAAAAATGGTTTTTTTTTTTTTTAAATTAGAGTTTATTTGAAAAAAGTTAGCATGGTTAGTTGTTAGTGGGATTTTAAGAAAGTATTAAAATAATATTTAAAATAAGATGATAAAATTGATTTGACGAAGACGTAGGAGGTAAATGATTGGAAATGATAAGTAGTTAAAATTATGTGAATGGATGAATACTGAATTAAAGTTGATGTGATGCGTAAGAATGCTCAAATGATGTTATTTAATTATACTGATAATATTGAGGATAATGGGATTGAGTTAAAGTTGAGTTAGATTTTGAATTGAGATAGATTTTTTTCTAGTTTTTTTATAAACAAGCACGGCCTTAAAAGTTTATCTTAATCTTTTAGAAACTTGTTTTCTCGTGCTCATGTTATCTCTCTTTCTCTCTCTCCCCAATGCATGCATCACATCCTTGGTGTTTTTCTCTCGAATGTCTACAAACAATGTATTGCTAAATAGATTTTTGAACCTTTGCAGCGAACATGAGGGACAACTCGCTAACTATTGGAGAAGAAAGTATCATGCTTCTTGAAGGGACCCCTGGTAAGCATATTTCCGATGACTTTTCTAATGAGCTCCATAAAGCTTCCATCAAAATTTTATTCTTATATATTTCATCCTTTTTCAAATTAGTCGAAGGTCCTTCCGGCAGAAAAGCTTCACTGCAGAGATATCTTGAGAAGAAGAAAGACAGGTATATATATTCCGCATGGACTCCTACATAATAAAAAAAGACAATAAACTGGAAAAATACGTCTTTTTTTCTCTTTCTGGATCCTCATCTCTGTTAGGTGAAGGTTCAAGAGCAAGAGAAAGGGAGGATTGAGCTTGTGTGCCAGCTTCGATATGTACATTAACCATCAAGTGTGTAATAAGATAACGTACAATCAGTTCACTGGAGAATGATTCACTACAGGATGTTTGTATTTCGTCTGGTCCGAGTAAAAAAAGTGAGATCTTCATCTTAAGGCTTCTTTTCCACTAGCCAATGTTATAAAAGGCATATTCTTCAACCTTTTTTTTTTCTTTTTTTTTTTGCTTTTTGTTGTCCAGGTTTACAAGTGGACTCGACCTGAAAAGTTCCGACTGGTCCAGCTTTGTTTGTTTGCTCGACTTTTGCCCATTGTGTGCCAATATTTATTTGTTTTTCTGCTGTAGATGCCAAGATAATGCTTCGGGATGTGAATTACTTTTTCGGTAATTCGTATGCTTTAGAAGTTAGAAGGAACCACGTTAGGCTTTTAGCAGTCTTTTGGTTTCTAGTCGAATATTGGCCCTTGAGGACCTTTTTCAGCTGATACTCGAAAATTTTATCGGGTATACGACTAAAAGATCTTGTGGAGGCTTGCAGTTATTGGTTGTCACATTTTCTTGCTTTATATGGTTTCTAGTCAAATATTGCTTTATACGACTAAAATTTTATCGGGTATACGACTAAAAGACCTTTATATGGTTGTCACAATATAAAAAAATCTTTATATTGAGATGCTACAACCAGAAACTTTGAAATACAAGTGGAATATTGGTCAAGGACTATAAAATCTCATATTTTCTCTTTGCAATTATCTAACATAACAGAAATCACTATAGCCGATAGGTTATCCGTGCTGCCCGACCTAAACGCACTGCGAATTATGCGCTCGGCAAGTGAGGATTTTGTGATATATTCAGATGAGGACTCGAAAATCGTGTGTACAATCTCACACACATTCTCGGGAGCCAAAGTCTCAAATACGCCGTCTGATGTGACTATCAAGAAGCTGTTCTCATTGGTAAAATGTCTCCATCCAGTGAGCTCGGGTTCAGCTGTGACGCCATATCTAGAAATAACAGCATATAAGCTCAACTATTATTAAAAAAACACGAAGACACGATTATCTTTCAAAATTGCAAAATAGCTCAATGCGTGTGAAAATTTCAAATAAGTAATATGCTGACTTAACCGTTTTAGATACACATCACCGATGGCTCTGGAGACGGCCAATACGCCGTTGACACGTGGAATGCTCGATTTAGTGACAAAGCCGCCAGCTGCTTCAATCCGGGCCTTCTCATCTTCCCTGTCTGGATGATGATCTCTTGTTAGTTCTTCAACATAACTTTCCACTAATGAAGAACCTACATATAAAAGAGTTCAAGAATGTCACAATGTATACAAAGAAAATGCAGTGTTTTTTTTATGGCATTAGTATATTGTTTGCTCATAGGACCTTCAGTATCATGAGTCGAGAGATTTTTCCGAGAGCACAAAAGGGCTTTCGAGTCGCCAATATTAGCAACTAGAAATTCTCCGTTGACCAAAAGAACAATTGTGGCAGTTGACCCTGAAATGTAGCGTTTGTCGAGCGCTTCCTAAAAGCAAGAAATCAAACTTGACACGAGCAAAATCGACAATGATAATCGGA